ATATATATATATTAGTCGCACACCCCTAGATGCTGGCTTGGCAAACTGCTTTATTTAGTTCCATTTTAACTCTAGTTCCAAAAATTCTCAAATTTAGCTTACTGCCCCAATTGACATTCAGGAATTGAACGGTGGCAAATTTACTTTTTAAGTGCTTCTGAACTGGCAATGAGGTGTCTTTACATAGACTATTTAATGCTGCGCAGTTGACAAATGCATTTATACAGCACTTCTCAACGGCATACTGTGCATGGACGCTTGTTCCACTGCGGGGACAGAAAGAGTAAATCGCAACTCTCTCTTAATCAGGTCTTTTTTTCATACGGTTCCGAGCTTATCTCTCACAATTCTGTCTTTTTTCATGCAAATCTCACGATTTCTAGATATAAAGACAATTGTGACTCTCAGAACTGTGAGATTGCAATAGCCTTTTTTTATTTTGTGGCAGAAACAAAAACTGACGCTGCATTATGTCTGGATGTTGAGCAGGCATAGAGCAAACTCAACTCGATGCCTTTGGAGACGTGCAGGCTTGAGTACGAGTACAGGCCGACAAACCCCAATGCAGCGGACATCAACCTAGAACAGAACAGAGTTGACAAATGCATTTATACAGCACTTCTCAACGGCATACTGTGCATGGACGCTTGTTCCACTGCGGGGACAGAAAGAGTAATCGCAACTCTCTCTTAATCAGGTCTTTTTTTTCCATACGGTTCCGAGCTTATATCTCACAATTCTGTCTTTTTTTTTTCATGCAAATCTCACGATTTCTAGATATAAAGACAATTGTGACTCTCAGAACTGTGAGATTGCAATAGCCTTTTTTTATTTTGTGTCAGAAACAAAAACTGACGCTGCATTATGTCTGGATGTTGAGCAGGCATAGAGCAAACTCAACTCGATGCCTTTGGAGACGTGCAGGCTTGAGTACGAGTACAGGCCGACAAACCCCAATGCAGCGGACATCAACCTAGAACAGACTGAGAACCAGACTTAAAATCTGACAACGCAGAAGGTGTCAAGGTATGTGATTGCAAGACAAACACACAAAACAGTCCAATTCCTCCCTCGCAGAAACATGATGCAGCATCATAATTAGCACCTGTGCATAATTAGTGAGCACCCACGCGAGGAGAGCCAGACTGTGCTTCAGATGTCCGCAGGGGAGCGATTCTGAGCCAGTACCATGCATTTATTCATCCATCCATCCATCCATCCATCCATCCATCCATCCATGCATTCATCCTTCCATCCATCCATCCATGCATTCATCCATGCATTCATCCTTCCATCCATCCATCCATGCATTCATCCATGCATTCATCCTTCCATCCATCCATCCATTCCTGAACCTAATAAAGAGCAATATCTTAATGCAATGCACTCCTTGATAATGAAAATAGCAAGGCGTGCGTCAACGTTAAACTGAGCGTTCAGAGCCTCTCTGAAGATCAAACATCACCATCCTCATCTTCATCATCTTCATCATCTGCATTCACACACACAGGTGTTTGCTGGGGAGCATGTGGCGGATGCGCTGCGGGTCACGTCCCGCCTCTGCGTCACATCAACCAGTCTCAACGAGTACTGTGCGTTTTTGTGCATATACCATGTTTTTGAACATGTGCCATGGTAAAACCTTGTTGTTTGGACAAGTTATGTGGCGATACTATGTTGTTGGACACGTGCCACTGTTATTCAGTGTCTTTTGGACGTGCACCATTGTGTTTTGTACTTGCACTATGCTTTTGACTGATGCATTATGGGAAAAAAACATGACTCATGAATAAGGTAGTCATTCAAAGCTGCCTGTTAATATGAATCAATCGGTTATTATCATTTGATACCATCATTGCACTGGCTAGTGGCATGCAACTGTGTAATTTACGACAGGAATGTAAATATGAAGTGATGAATTGCATGAATAATTGTATATAGTTCATAGAGCAGCTGTTGCATTCGTTAATTAATAGCACCCTCTAGTGTGCATATGCTGTCACCAATGGCAGTGTATACATGTTTTCTGTCTCTACTGTATTTGAGATCAGATATGCACGGAGTCTGGGCAGGTAAAGCCAATGCAAGATTATGGCATCCATATGAAAGATCAGCTCCAAGGCTAGTTTAATGACTAAAGATTCAAATGCACCCGTTTCATGGCACAGATTTCAAATCTGCACTATTTATTTCTGTACGTTTAGCGAAACGTTAGTGAAAGTATAGGACTATTACACATAGAAATATCTGCATGTTATATGAAACCATATGCATCGGCTTTTCATCTCGAGATTGATTCCCAGAACTGGAATTAACCTCTGCATTTAATTGCAAGCTAATTAAACCCTGCAAACTAATTAAACATCCACTTGTAATTGGGGGTTCATGGTGCATTTCACTGCCATTGTACGTGCATAACACATATTTTGCAGTTTACACACTAAATTATTTCTGTGGTGATTGACAGCAGGCACAGATGCCTAGAATTGTATTGAGCTTAAAATATAAGACTTTCAATATAAAATTTGTTGAAATTGTTAAAAAGATAATTGCGTGCTTAAATATTAAGCATGCAAAATAAGAGGTCACGAGGTGACAACAATGTAGCATGCATGCTGTTTAAACTGTCCAGTCACAGTATTTCTCCACTTGGTGGTCACAGGTGGAGGCGTTTCTTCTGTGTGTGATTTTTGTCAATTTTCAGGCCTCTGCAGATAAAATGCACCACTTTTGAAAACAATCCCCGTGCAACACTGCACAACTGCACTTTAGCTTCCGCAGCACTGATGCTCAGCCTAAAATAAAAGGTTTATAGGAAACTTTGGCCATATTTGAGGACTAGCAGGACTGAACCTGACAGAAGTAAATGCATCGTTTTATATATGCAGCATTTCATGTTCTGGACTAGTATTGGTTATTGTTTGAAGATGAGTCTGTTTTGAGACCAGTTTGATGCTGTCGTACTACATTGACCATCTGCACGTCTGTGTCCAGGTGAAGGTGTGTGAACTCACCTGCTCTCCACGACGGCCCCGCCGCTGCTGCTGCTCCCGCTGCCCATGCTGACCGCTGCTCACTGACCGCTGCTCACCTGCTGCGTGTCCTTGTGCCTCTCGCCCAAACCCATCGGCCAATCCGTGCAAACCTCGACCTGTAAGCCGCCAGTGCTGTCTGCATCGACAGGCAGTGGTCAGATCCCAGCGTAAATCCCACTGATGCTCTCTGGATTGGCCGTCAGCTGCAACAGTGTTCTGGAGAGCTTCTCAAACTGTGCTCAGGTTTGCAATGACAACAAAGTCTGCAATCAAAAATCAGATGTTCTTATGATCCACATTAACTTCAATGCTCTATATTCTATACTGAATACACACATCCACAACATTTACCTACAGATACACATGCTGAATGTTTATTATGGTGTACATTATGAAATTACTTGATGCTTTCGGCAAGCAATGTTATTTTAGGAGCATTGAGGTACTATTATAGTTTAATACTTTGAATTATTTTCTGTTTTAAATATTTTCTATTTTGCCGTTTTCTTGTGTTTTTTTGTCATTTAAATTTAAATTTTTTTTAGAAAATATTTATATATTATTTATTATTTAATTTGTAAAATTATTTATGAATTTATAGCTCACTTGAATTATTATTATTTCAATTAATTATTACTATTAGTCATTTTAGTGCATCAAGTTAAACTAAATGTAAACGAGAAATAAAGTTTAATTTTTTTATATTTTATTTTATTTCAGCAGTGTTATTTTATTATTAATTATATACTAATATAGTATTTATGAATATTTTGAATTATTGTTTATTTTGTTATTTTCAGTTTTCTTTTCAATTTTAATTTAAGTTTTAATAATTATGTGTGCTTTGTCATTTTTATTAGTTTTTTTTTTTTAAATGTTTATTTTTATTTCAGATTTAGTTTTGGTCATTTTAGTACCTATTAGTGCTTATTTATTTTATTTAGCTGCTAAAGCAACATTTCTCATTTTTGTTCTCAAATGTAAGTTTCTTAAGTTTAGGTTTTTCATCTAATATTTTATTTTATTTAGATTTTTTTTCAATACCGAAAATTATTTGTAATAGTTTTAGTATTAATAAACAATAACAGCACTGGTCAGCAGATACTCAAAAGCCATTTGTCATACTAAATTAGGTTTAAAACATATTGGTGAAGATGTGCTTTACCCGTTGCTTCTAAAATAGGCATATGCTATTTTAAGTGTTTCTGAATAATTAATGCAAGTGTCTTCTTTACAGGAAAGCAGGATATGAGACAGTGCTGTGTCGCTCTCAGAGACGTGAGTCACGCAGCCGAGGACGAGCCGGATAATGGCTTATCTCTCTCTCTCTCTTGCTCTGGAGGTCATTGTGTACAGCGAGGCTCTTAAAGAGGTAAGCAGGGTAAACTCTGATTAGTATGGTAACGGCTGAGGCCGTCACACCGCAGACTAGAGCTGACGTAAAGACCACAATCACATGCATTTATACAAACGTCTTTGTGTGCTGCTCACATTCCTCAATACACAATCATAAAAACACACAGAGATAAAAATAGGCTCGGCTGATAATAATAGCACACTGCCATTGGCCAATGCACCATCACGACGCAGATGTTGCTTTATTCTCCTCTTTTTCTCCCTCAGTTTCAGTTTTCAAATTCAAAGCCATCATTTTGGATGATTTACTTACAAAAAAGGTGCCAGCAATGTGATAAAATCTCATATTGAAATGGCATTAAGAATATACTATTGCTCTTGAATATGGTGGGTTTGATCTTTTTTTCTGACAATCCAGGCAAATGCATTGCATCTCTCTCTCTCTCGCTCTCTTTCTCTCTCTCTCTCTCTTGCTCTCTTTCTCTCTCTCTCTCTCTCGCTCTCTTTCTCTCTCTCTCTCTCTCTCAAAAGGTGCCAGCAATGTAATAAAATCTCATATTGAAAAGGCATTAAGAATATACTATTGCTCTTGAATATGGTGGGTTTGATCTTTTTGTCTGACAATCCAGGCAAATGCATTGCATCTCTCTCTCTCGCTCTCTCTCTCTCTTGCTCTCTTTCTCTCTCTCTCTCTCTCTCACACACACACACACACACACACACGATGCGCAA